GTCATCCCTACAAAATATTTTAGTTTGAAAATAGTCCTTAACATAAATAACACTTCTAATTAGATGAGATAGTACATTTATTTCATACTCAACATATTAGTCATGTATTTCTAATTACATCCGATGCAATTTCTAAACCCTAAATTGTGTACTTATTCATATTACATATATCCGACTCTCAAATTTCTTACGAATATAATATAATCAAAATTTGAGAATTGGAAATGCAATTTGATAAAAGACACAATTATTGGCATCAAAATTTTTTCTGAAGTAATTGCAATTCTAAAACTAAGCTATTGAGTATTAAAGAAATATGTTATCTCAACAACATAAAAGTCTTTATTACGTATTAAGATCATTATCAAAATAAATGTTTTTTGTAAGGATGACTTAAACAAAAATTATATTTCAGGGACCAAAAAACAACTCACCTATTTTTAAGGGACTAAAAATATATTTAACCCTTAAAAATATCATAATAAAGAATAATAAAATAAAATATCTGTAAATTAAATCATAAATCATTTAAGAACTATTAGCCATAATTTTGTTAGTAATTATATCAAACCATGAAATTAATATAATCAAATTACCAAATAATATCTAATATATGTTACATGCTTTAACAATTTATTTTCTAATCTTCTCATATTTTATAAAATTTCATTGTATATCTAGAGATATCAAAACTCATATTTATTTACCAAACACCAGAAAAGGATTAGGATATCTAGAGATATCAAAACTTATTTTTTTTGCTCACCAAACACACCTTTAGAAGTTTTGTAATAATTGAATAGAAAAATATGCATAATTAGGAAATAATCTATTATAAAAACGAATATCTATATTCTCTTCCATAATTAATTGTACCGAATGACTTCATACCATAGTATTAACTTCTTACTTTCTATAATATATTTTACATGTTAGAAATGTCTCATAAACAACATCACATCTCAGCTTCTTAGAGATTAAAATATCAATTTTATAAATAATGGATCAAATTATAAACATATTTGATCCTTTCCTATAAGAATACTTTAAAACGAAAATATATCATTATCAAAATATAGTTAGGAACTCAACTTTTAAAAATGACTAAGAGATCTTGGTTTTAAACCCTCATGGTGGTATACTTTTGGAAAAAAATTGCAAAACAAAAAACTTGTCCGACCGGTTCGACCGACTGGTTTGTCTAAAAGGGTGACACATCAGCTCTGCCACATGTCGCGCTTTAGCTCTGCCAAATGTCACGTTCTTATAGCTCGGAGTCTCCTTTATATATATAAAGGATATAAAATTAAACATACATAATTACTACCTAAATATTTATACGGAGTACTTTTTTGAAATATGACTATATCTTTATTATTTAAGTATTTTTTAGACATTCATTATTAGTTTTATAATAATAACTAAAATAATAGAGAAAAAATAAAAAATGTGAAATAGTATATGCAAAATGATACTAAAAAGTAAATGAAGTAAAAAACACAAATGAAAATATTTTTATTAACTAAAAAGTATATAATAATACGGTGTATGACACTAAATATTATTATTTTAATTACAATTGACCGACTCATTGAGCCCTGTATTGACTGATTAGCCCTTGACCCAATTCTCGTCAAGGTCAACGTCTGGTTTGACTTTCAAAACATAACTATATATCCAAAGGAGTAAATTCCATAATTGGTCCTTTATAACATGGGGTTTTCATATTTAATCCTCTATTATCAAATATTACTCTCGTAGTCCTTTTTTAAGGGTGCCTTTCCACAAATGGTCCTATTTAACTTTTTTTATCTTCCGCCACGTGGGTGTTAATTTAAAGACTAAAAGTACAATTTGACATCAACATTATGTCTAGTGACGTGTTCAGATATTAGTTAAGCGGATAACACAAAAATAATGACTATGATTGTGGGCTAGGATTCCGACAGAAGACCACATTTGTAAACTATGATTGTAGTAGAAAGCAAATGTAATTCACAAATGATGCAAACGGAACAACCTTTGGAATTGTGTATGACAAAAAAGATATATTATCATTGTGAAATTACACTTTTACCCCTCAAATTAACACCAACATGATAGAAGATTAAAAAAAGACTATTTGTGGAAAGATACCCATAACAAAAGGACCATTGAGATAATATTTGATAATAGAGGACTGAATAGGGAAACCCCACTGTTATAAAGGATCAATTATGGAATTTACTCTATTTAAAGGTTAAACACCCATCTCGGGCACCCACACCCCGACCAGAACGAATTGTGAAGGGTTAAATCATGTTATAAGGTTAGTCTTGTCTTTATAGATGATAAATAAATAAATAAATAAATACTTCCTCCGTCCGGAAATATTCTTCCCGTGTTGACTTGGCACGCTTATTAAGGAATAGTAAAAAATGCAAAATTTTCAAAAAATGCACATACTATAAACTTTTAAATCTCCTTTTATTATTAAAAAAGTACTAAAAAAAGTAGATTTGTGATAAAATAGAAGGGTATTATTGATATTTATCATTAAAAAGCATCCTAAAAAAAGAAATGGGAAGAATATTTCCGGACGGACCAAAAAGGAAAGTGTGAAGAATATTTCCGGACGGATGGAGTAAATAAATAAAGAACATGAGGTATAGCGTATAGGACATGAGTTAAGGAGCAAAATAGGAGTAAAACATTGATGAAAATCCAAAATTGGAGTTGAAACATAAAAGCCCCACGAGTTGTTGACTCTCCTTTCACAGCTGCCTCGTGGTTTCATGGGATAATCAAAGTACGGAGTATGTTTTTTTTTCAACTCTCAAAACAAAGTTAAAGAGGGAGGGTCAATTATTTCTAGGTAGCTACTGATGGAGGGGAGCTAACTAGTCAATATGCATAGGTTTTGGTGCTTTCTCTCTGATGTTTCCATTTGGATTTTTTTGTGTGAGAGGGGGATTATAAATGTGAAAGAAAAAGAGAAGAGGGAGGGAAGGGTAGGTGGCCTGGCAATGATGCCTGCCCATACACACATATACACACCACACACAAAAAGGGGGAAAAGGGGGACATCTTTAGGTGAAAAATAATTTGGATCGGGTTTCTCCCCCATAGAAGGAAAGGATGATGGCCCATTAGATCAATGTGGGATTTTAACTTTATTCTAATTAGTCTCCTCAAATTGATTCTAAGAGTTACATGTGAAGATTAAGAGAGAAATATCTTTAGATATGAGTAAAATGTTATTGACATACATGAAGTACCATACTAAAATATGCCAACGCCGAGCTATATTACATGCCAATGCCGCCGACTCTTTGCCCCCGCCGCCAACGCCGCCACGCTTTGCTGCACTCCTTGCCCCACAGCCCTTTCCGTCATGTCGTCTTGCTCTGCTACTCCCCTATCACCGCCAACAACATACACACACCCCTACCTTTGCTCTCTCGTGTCCCACTGTGGTGCAATTAGCTATTGTTGATGATTTCGCATGTCATTACCAACACCACTAAGTCTCCTTCTTTGCTACCGACACCACCAGGACATGTAAGCATCACTAGTGCCATAGCGTCTGTAAAGGAAAACAACTTGCTATACAATGTCAACTGTAGCTACAAATAATGTCAAATATGACAATTTACACTCCCAAACTTAGCGCTACATAAGGACATATATGACACTGTATAATGTTACAAGGAGTGTGAGAACAAACAATTTAATTTTTTAAAAACAAGGCTTATTTCAAATAAATTTGATTATTAAGCCAAGCATTCAGAATAATTTTCTTAAATCCAAGCATACTGGAAAGTTGTCTCTTCGTCGTCAGACAAACTCCATGGAAGCATGGCATTTGTGTTCTTCTTTTGGCAACAGTGAGGATAGATCGAGGAGGGAGAGGCGTTGGGTTTCGTCGAGGCAAGGGGATGGCGGCGATGGAAATTATGGCGACAGTGATAGCAACTGGTAGCAACTGAGATGTAACGAAGATGGTGATCGGCGGTGGTTGTTGAGATTGAAGAAGGGGGAAACCATTTGGATCACTAAAAAATAAGGGCTTTGTAGTTTGTACCCTAAAAACAAAAATTAATTAATTACTACAATTTAGTAAAGTTTAATTTGAACTCCTATTTTAAGCCTATGACATATATTTTACTCCTACTTAGAGTAATTTCTTATCAATGTTGATATCATAGTACCACATTAATCACCAAATACAGTGTCAAAAAAATATAATACCAAGCATTGCCCCACATAGTGTCACATATGACAATGCATAATGTCACAAATGCCCACATGCATTGTTTTAGATGCAAATTGACAGTGTCACACAAAGGTAAATAGGCCATGAATCACATAATTTTAATCTAATTTTTTTCAATTGTATATGCATTCTAAATCAATAATCAAAAATTAAAAAACAAGTTTTTTAGGGGGACAAAACTGTACTTTGATTTGCTAGAATCAAATTATAGCCAAAATGAATGAGATTGGGAGTGTTGGTGAAGAGTGGGACTCTATTGCACCTATAAGCATCACAGATGCCTTCAAACACTATATCAGCAAGAAAACTAGACCTGAACTATGAGAGGCTATTTAAGGTAATTAGCAATTTAGCCAATAAACCCTAACTCAAATTTCACCAAAATTCATCAATAACCAAGAATCAAAGCCCAAATTAAAGGCGATTGTATGAAAAATTGAGAGGAAACGGACACATGAGCGGAAGTGCTTAGGGAAGCGAAGGGTTTGGATGGAGACGACGGCGATAGGCGTAAGCTAGCGCCGGCAAGTGATATGATGCCTGCAAAGCCTACCGGAGACCAGAGTACAGCCGAATCGGGGCGGCAGTAAAACACCACCGTCTCCAACCCACAGAAACTGCATCGCCGACCAAGTTCTCGCTTCCTCATTTGATCGAATAGCATCAACATCCGCATCACCTATTACTTTTATTTAATTAGTCCTATTTAGAATAGTTTAAGTTTGAACTCCTATTATAAGGATATGACACATGTTTTACTCCTATTTAGGGGATCTCAAAATAGGAAATACGAGAAGCAGTTTTTTTTTGCAATTACTAGTGTTCAAATTTTTTTATTTGATTTCTCCCATCATCTTCTTCCCAGTTCCCACTCAGAATTCAGTTACCACCCACCGCCTTCACCTACCGAAACCCTAACAAACGATCCTCTGTTCCCATCATAACCATTTACCACTCCCTGTAAGAAAATGTTGTCTTTGAATCTCAACGACGACGAAGAAGAAGAAATCACCTTAAACCAACTCTCGCAAGACCCACAACTATCTCTCTCCTCCTCAGGAGAAACCTACCTGGTGGGCTTCATCTTCGCGAACATAGTTGGAATCCAATATTACACCGGCAGAATTAGTGGCAGAGAAATGGTGGGTCTAGTCCGAGAACCCTTGAACCCTTACGACGAGAACGCCATCAAAGTCCTGAACACTCGCGGCAATCAAGTGGGTCACATCGAGCGGGCAGTCGCCAAAACTTTAGCGCCATTATTGGACACTCATGTAATTCTTGTTGAGGGCATTGTCCCAAAAACCCCCAACAAGAATGCGAGGTTTAAAATCCCTTGTCAATTGCACATCTTCTCGGCACTCCACTCCTTTCCCCAAGTGAGATCGGCAATCTTAGGAGGAGGGTTGGAGCTAATGACACAAGAAAGTGCAGCGTTTGCTCTCTCTGATGCGGCGGTGGTGAGGGATATGAAGAATGCTAAGTGTATTAAGACTGTGGATGAGATTTTTAGGCTTGTTGATGAGAATGAGGGGAGAAAGGGAGAGGGAAGTTCGGTGAAATTGGATCCACCGCGGGAGGTGATTGTTACCGAGTTGTTTGAGCACCAGAAGGAAGGACTTGGATGGTTGGTTCACAGGGAGAGTTCGGAAGATTTGCCTCCTTTTTGGGAGGAAAAGGATGGGTTGTTTGTTAATGTTTTGACCAATTATCAGACTAGTGTTAGGCCTGAGCCCATCAAAGGTGGGATATTTGCGGATGATATGGGGTTAGGAAAGACCTTAACTTTGCTATCACTAATAGCTCACGACAAAGTTTGTAGTGGAAATGGGGGTAGAGTGGATGATAATGCTAGTGAGGAAAAGGGGGAAATGGTTGATGATCCTTCGAGTAGTAATAAATCAAATTCGAAAAGAGGAAGAAAGGCAAAGAGGGGGGCTACGACTACTGCTAATAATGCTAGGAATAAGAAACAAAAGGTGGTTGATGATGATGATGTCAGCGTGTGTAGTGAGTCAAAAACGACATTGGTTGTGTGTACGCCTTCTGTGTTTTCTGTGTGGGTGAGCCAGTTGTGTGATCATACTCATACTGGTTCTTTGACTATGTATATGTACTATGGTGGGGAGAGAACTAAAGATGTGGATGAGCTTAAAAAGTATGATTTAGTGCTTACTTCATATATTACTTTGTCAAAGGAAGACGATCAAGTTTATTCACCAATTAAGAAGATGAAATGGAGGAGAATTATATTAGATGAGGGGCATTTGATAAAAAATGCTGATGCTAAGCAGAGTCGTGCTGTCACGGCATTGATTGGTAAGAGGAGATGGGTTGTGACAGGCACTCCTGTGCAGAACAGCTCTTGTGATCTGTTCTCTCTTGTGGCATTTTTGAAGTTTGATCCTTTCTCTAATAAAAGTTATTGGAATAGACTTATACAACGCCCTTTAGCTCAGGGTGATCATAAGGGGCTTCAGCGGCTCCAGGTATATATTTTGTATCATCTTCTTCAGCTTATGTATAATCATCTCAGTGCTGCAAATATACCCTTCAACAGTCTTCGATATAGATCATGAAACTACTCAAAATGAACTACATCATTGTTTTCCATTTGATTCTGCCATTATGTCTCTATTGTAAGGAATTAATAAACGGCTAGGTTCTTTGGCCACTCTCTTTGAGTGGCCACAGAGGACACCTACAGTGCTCTGTTCGTAAAATTGATAGTTTCTACCCCAGTAAACCATCAACCCAGTCCCAATCCCAACTCATCCCCACCCACATCAATTGCATCCCGCAAGTTTACTTGACTTGGGTCAAATTTTTTGACTCCAAAGTCAACTAAACTTGCATCTTGCGGGGTGCAATTGGCGTAGGCGGGGGATGGGTTAGGGTCAGGATTGGGTGGGGGAGTTTACCCGGGGTTAGGGGAGTAGGAACTATCAATTTTGTGAACGGAGCACCGTAGGTGTTGAGTGTCCTCCGTGATCACTCGATGAGAGTGGCCATAGAACAGGCCCAATTAATAAGTGCAGTATATGCAAGTCAATGCAAAGTTTGTCTTGTTCATGACCGTATTTGTATATTTTGGGGGGTTTTGTTGCAGGTCTTAATGTCAACTGTCACATTGAGAAGAATGAAGGATCAGAATTTGATTGGGTTGCCATCTAAATCTGTTCAGACTTGTTATGTGGAACTTATGCAAGAAGAACGTGATCTTTATGAGCGTATGGAAGAAGAAGCGAAACAGGTTGTTAAGAACTATATTAATAGAGGGAATATTACACACAACTATTCCACTATCCTCAGCATAATATTGAGGCTTCGTCAAATTTCTACTGATGTTGCACTGTGTCCACATGATATCAAATCCTTGATCTTCGCTGACAGTGTTCAAGGTTTGTCCATCTTACAAAACTGATCAATTAGCAGCCACTCACCTTTTGCAGTCGTGATGCTTTGAGCATGCTAT